CCATTGAGCCTGACCACTTGTTTAGGCAGGTACTGTAGCTGAATTGGAGGCCAGTTATTTAGCAGACGGATAATAAAGAGGCGAAATGGCCATGTCTGAGACATACCTGATACTGGGTCAGTTCCAAGTCGCTCTTCTGCAAAGTCCCATAAAAGTGAAAGTTTGTTACTTTTCTCTAAAGTGAATTAGAGGTGTCCATGTAGTAAAGTATTAGATATCATCTGGGAAATAATAGCTGAACTTATGAATGGTAAGTATTCTGGGGGGAAAAAAAAGTCATGAAAGCTTTCAAACTGGATGCGTCCATTGAGATACATTTTCCTTAACCTGTTCCTCGATTCTTTGTGGAAAATACAAATTGATACTACTTTATCTAACATGGTTGTGAAAATCACGTTGATATTTTTAAAGAGATGGGATAGGCTTTGTAGTGAAATGCACAAGGAAAAAGGTGCAGCTGTGGTTGTGGCATAAGCACAATGCTGCATGATGAAGATAATTTCTAAGTTCGCTTTGTGCAGTGAATTATGCAAGTATCCAAATGACAAAATAGTTTGATAACATAATTGAAGACTTATCACAATACAAAAGGGAAGCAAATTAAGTTTTTCTGGGCAACTGTTTCAGTTATGAGAGCTTGAGTTTCATGATCATTGTTCTTTTTATAATATTTCAACATTAACACCACTGTTTTAAACACAGGAAATGTGAGTGTAATTGTTCTTAAAATTAAATCTAGCTTGCTTATATAGCCAAAAAGGATGCAACTTTGACCCTGAGTGTCTGTTTTATTTTAACTTGCATCAACTGAATCAGAGTAAGCTGATAAGCACTTTATGTAATAAATCATGTGCACACAGGGATTTTCAGAAATGCGGTGGAAATTCAGTACTATAATACCTATATGGAAGGTTGCTAATTCCTCTCATTGTGAACTGAAAATTAAAATTTTTTCCTTTGTAGGTGAAAGTTAGAGAGCTTCTGGAAAACCACTACTACAATAGAAAGTGAATAGAATAGAAAGCAGCTCTGGGACTGTATCAGATAGTGAGAAGGAGAAGGGGGGGGATAAGGCCTATGCTGAGAACTACAGCTAGGGACTGCTGTCTGATGTAACACAGACAACTCATCTTGCTAAAAGCTTTGCGTTAGCATGAGTATTGCACAGGTATGTGTATTTGCACGTCAAGCATTCACTTTTAGGAGCTCTCCTTAAACTTACTGTTAGTTTCCTTTTAGGCAGGGGAAAAAAGAAAATTGAATCATCAGTTGAGATAGAATGGGAGGAAAGGCACTGTTGAATAACAAGAGAAAGTTTTATATTTATTGATTTAAAAGCATGATTTTACATTACTTGAAATATATTTAGGGAAACCTTGCATTAAAAAAACCCCTGTGGCTAGATCCCAATTTCTGCTGCTTGAAATTTTCACGTTCTGTTTTTATATGCTTCTAGCAGAGGTTGACAGGAACATGATTCTAGCTTTTGCAGTAGTGAGGATGTCTAGCTCTTTCCCCATGAATGCACGTTCTCGTGAGTGCAAATAGCTTTTACTATGCACAGTAAATGATTTTTCTTCACTGGGACAACTCCAAATCCTTTTCAGTAGATAACAAATATCCAGTATAAAAAGGTTTGTGTGGAGTAGTACTAGTTCTGTTATATCTGTAAAAGCCTTTTGGAAGGTGATGGAGAATTCTTGTGCAACCACGCTACTCGAGTCAGAAAATGCCTGGACGTTGGCCATGTCTAATTTAGTGAGTTTGGTAGCTGAAATGATCCCATATCTGCAGAACACAATAATATATATTTCAAGTGCACTCTCTTATCTGTAGTTCTTCTAACTTATAGCATGTGCTGTCATAGCATCTATAAGTTATTATTAGGATGCTAGCCTTCCAGTGCTGAGAAAGTACGTGGAATGCAGACCGTACCTTACCTGCTTATGAATCAAGTTTTAATAGTAAGATGCTACCAAATAGCTTCAGTATAGAGCTATTTGATAAATTGATTCTTAGTGCTTCACAAATGCTTCCAGTACTTGTTAGAGGCAAATGAAACAAATAATTTGGAATATTAATCCCTATTGATTTCATACAATGTTATGTAAAACTTGTTTGCTTTTTCTTTTTAGCCTTGAATGCCAGTTATGCTAGAATTTTACTTCATTTCTGAAATTTATTTGCATTGTGGTTGAAATAAAAATAAAAGATGAGCGTCCTACAGAGTAAGACAATGAGAAGACTGCTTTTAATGTCTCCCTGATATCTACAATTATGTGACAAAAACAGTGTGTTTAAAAAAAAAAAAAAAAGACAATAATCAATAGACTGACTCTGTTCTTTCATAAAACAACATAAAAATGTTAGGCCTTTGTCACGAGTTAAGTTATTGAATACTTCATTTTACGTTCCAGGTTTCTTAAATAACTCATCGTTTTGTTGTTTTGTTTTTGTTTTTTTTAGAGGACTGGATGAATCTACATTCTGTTCTTCAATTCATAACGAACACAGCGCAGGACTGACAAAGGCGATGCATGATTACAGGTAATGTTACAGTATTTGAGGAGAAATTGTTTTTATGCTATTATCTGTGTTCATAAAATTTTACCAAAAGTGGAAGAATATTAAGAGTAATTAAACTGTTAAGCTGTTTAACTTTCCTTAGAAAAACCTGTCAGTAGGTAGGCCTGCCTTGGAAGCTAAACCAAAACTAAAAAAAATGGAAGAAATGCAAAAGATTTTTTTTTTCCTTGTATATGTTGGATAGGAGCCAGCCTCTGAAATTGTGTTGGGTTACTTTTCTCATGATGCTACTACACTGAACAAGGGAATTAGAACTGTTATTTGAAACTAATAGTAGAATGCATCTATGACATTTTATTTTACTGTGCTTCTTAAAATAAAACTTTGAAATAAAATGTGTACAAAAATAGGAGTTATTTGCTGCTGTCCTCAACATTGGCAGGCATTCAGTGAAATTTGGCAGCAGACATAAAACAGAATTAGGTGTTTTTCCACATAACTTGTCTTTAAGTGGTAGAAACCGTTGCGACAACAAATTGTCATTGTTGAAAAGTGCGTATGGTTTCAAAGGCAAATAGACTGATTCACAGTAGAAAAGTCCATCAAGGACTGTTTACATGGAAAGATCGCATTTGTCTCTGGCTGTAGGGAGTTGAAGGCTTGAAGGGAATGGCAGAGGAGGTCACTGCTGTCTCTGGCTAGAGGAGGTCACTGCTGTCTCTGGCTAGAGGAGGTCACTGCTGTCTCTGGCTAGAGGAGGTCACTGCTGTCTCTGGCTAGAGGAGGTCACTGCTGTCTCGTGCTATGCTTTGAATCACTGGCTAGTAGTCACTATGACAGAGGGGGTTGTGTGCTTAGACAGGTAATTAAAAAAAAAAAGATGCAACTAAGCAGCAAAACTGGGCTAAGCTTAAACTCATTTCTTATTTTGAGAAGATAAGGCTAAAACTTCCCAGCTTGCTGGATTTTGGTTTCATTCTGAAAGCTTAGCTGCAGAGGAGTGTTCCATAGCTTGTATGGATCTGTCTGTGGTTGGCTGGAGCTAAATGTCACCCACTTTTTAAAAATTCTGATTGACAAGAAATAACTGAAATTGATTCTTTTTTTTTTTTTTTTTAATTATTAACATGCTATTTTTAGCTTACTATGTGACCATTCCTGTCGAGGAACAAAGCTGAAGTACATAGAGCACTTAGTCTGAGAAACACCTTTCACATGTGGCTTTAGTGCTACATAGTGTAGGGATTTCTTGTTTCTCAAATATGAACTGCAGGCTGCAATATTTATTGTAAAAATGTAAATATGTCCTTAATTATTGCCGTTCTAACTTACTATCACGTTACTAAGAATAATTGGGTTTCTGTTGCGTTCCTAGCAGTTTTTTGCAAATGAGATGTTATTAGAATTTAGAAACTGGAAGCCCCTGCTTCCTCTTCATTCCATTTTTATGACAATTTCTGGCTCTTTCTATGAACCCTTAAGAACACCTTTTAGGGATTTGCATCGTGTCAATGTCATTTAACCAGCTCAGATCCTATCAGAGGTTAGTAATGTCATTTAACCAGCTCAGATCCTATCAGAGGTTAGTTTCTTGCTCCCTCTTTTGTGAGTTGCCTTTGTTCACGCCAAGAATAAAACATTAAGATACAGAACCATAGAAAAACGTTATCTTGCTCTTTCCGCAGGGTAAGAGTTAACATTTATTTGCGCTGAAGTTAATTAGAGAAACCTATATTGGTTTTTAGAATGACAAATTTAATAACGCAGGAACTATATGCAGTTTATAGGGAAGTCTTATTGTGAAGGAACATGAAAATTAAGTTAGTTTAAATCGAACTTAGAAGTAATTATCTTCATATTGGAGATGTGTAACGTCTCACTAGATAGACTTTTTATTTTGATAGATTCCTTTTGAAGCAATAAATGTGATAATTAAGAGTCACATATTAAATGTTTTACACTTTCTCATATTAATGAAAGTGTTTCAGAGTGACTAAGTTTTAAGTGTCTGTCTTGGTCTTTCTTAATGCAGAAAAATATTTTATGGAGTAAATGAAATTGCTGTGAAAGTGCCTTCCATTTTTAAGCTTCTGATTAAGGAGGTAAGATCTTTCTTTCTTTTGAAAAGTATATCATTAAATCATTAAAAGTTACTTTGAGTACAATGACTATTGGACTGATCTTCAGATAGTGATAACTGTGTAGAATGAAGAAACCATTCCCCAGAAAGAAAACCCACCACTGTAAATCGGAGTGATATTGGGCTTTTTTCTGGTCTCTCCACGTTCAAGAGCCCTTAGCTGCAAACTAAGGGTTCAGAGAGTTCACAGCCTGTTGCCTTAGTAAGGACATCGGAAAACATACCAGAATTCTTTGGGAGGGTATCTTCTTTTTTTTTTTCTTTCCTCCCTTCCCCTTTCTGTCCTTCTGTTGTTCATTTGAAATGTGCAACTGTTACCAGCCCAGGGAGTATACCTTAGAACATATCCATTGCATCAGATGGATTCTTCCATATACTCTGCTTGACCTGTTCTATTTTCCTTGTGCCATATGGATTTGAATAATTGACTCGTTATCCATATCGTACAATAGTACATGGTGCAACCTTTTGAACAAAGAAACCCTTCAACCTGAACTTAGGATGCAAGAACTTGAGATGTCAGTGCATTTATTAATGAGAAATATATAACATCCAAATTAATTTAAGAATCATAACTTCAGTTGCATCGAATCTTATGATTTTGCTTTGAGGTGTAGGGGAAAATGTTAGAGTCTTAAAAGCGTGCACTTATGTGCTGTTTTAGTGAGAGCTGTGCTTTTGAGGAAGATTGAGGAAGTAGTGAAAAAGGAGGAGCAGTTTGGCAAAACAAATTTATGTATAAAGAGCTAAAATCCTCCTCTGTGGAGGAGGAAGATGCTGACTGAGATTGCCTATTACCTTTTGGTCTAACTTTAATATTCTGTCACTTTTCTAGGTTCTCAACCCTTTTTACATTTTTCAGTTGTTCAGTGTGATATTGTGGGTCACTGATGAATATCACTACTATGCATTAGCAATTGTGATTATGTCTGTAATATCCATTGTTAGCTCACTCTACACCATTAGAAAGGTAAGTTCAAAGAAAACATATGGATCTTTTCAGCTCTTTATTTACCAGTTTATTTTGATGTGAAATTGGATACAAATCTGAGTGTTTTGTTTTTTTTTTCTTCAAGAGTATGTATGTAGAATCTTGTTACTTGGGTTCTCCCTCTCCAAGTTGAAAGAATTTGAATCCAGAGCTCTGTTTGGGACCCATCTCTGCTGACTTTCTGTGCTGCTGAGCCAGCAGGTTTGCCTGCCTCCTCACAGAAAAGCCACCTCACTTAAATAAAACTCGGGAGCAGAAATTTATGTGCCAAGTTGTATTGACAGTTGGGATTTCATCGTACATTGTTCCCTACTTTTTGAAAAAATAAAACAGAGTTGAGCACCAGCCACACTTGTAGGTTGTTAAATTGGTGATGCGTTTTCTGTCTAGACTTAGGAGCTGTACCTGATGGAAATTAAAGTGGTATTTATTCTTAAACTGTAGGCCCTGAGTTCAAACCAGAAAGATAAATTTAAAAAAGGCTACCTCCAAATCATTAAAAGTAACCCTCTGAACTTTTTTTTAAAACAGCTGTCAAAACTCAATACGAATTCATACAAATCCTGCAGTATTTGTATATATGAATTAATTAATGAGCAAACATTTTTATAAAATTGTGTGGCCGTGTATATTTGCTCCCAGAATGCTATGTAAGAATAGGAACCTGTACAGGTTGACACACTTGAACTTTATTTGAACGCGAAAGTTTTCTAAGCTGCTTTCAAGAGAAGGTTTAAAGTAATATTTTGTTTTAAAAAGAATCTTAGTAAAGAATTTCATATATATGTGTGTGCGTGCGTATGTATATATTTTGTGTGTGATATAGAGTTAGAATGTGTATGTAGAAGCTATACTTTCAAATAATGAACTCCTTTTCTCTCCTTTTGCAGCAATATGTTATGTTACATGATATGGTAGCAGCTCACAGCATTGTCAGAGTTTCTGTCTGCAGAGGAAACCAAGGTAAGGTACACAGGCAGTTTGAAACATTAGACTGTTCATTAAGTGGAAGTGTAAAAATTACTACACACCTGTTCTTTCTTTGTTCAGCTTGAAATAACTGTATTTCTTAGCAAATTAGAAAGGAAAAGGAGGAAACCAAAGTAGAATCGAGATAGGATAATAATCTGTTTAGAAATATCCGTCTATATGGTCTTTTAGCCAGTATCAGGTTTGATCTAGATTAGGTGCTTTTCTGTTCGTGTTTCTCATATTTACCCCTCCATGTATGTAGTTGCATTGCAGTTTCTTGAGCTCAAGAAGCACCTGGCTTCCCCCCCCCACTATTACAACTTAGTACCCAGCAGTGACTGCAAGGTGATCTCTGGATTTATGCTCATGTAGATACCACAGTAGCTGAAGATGTTTGAGTTCTCATGCGTGACAAATTGTTTTGTAAAACATGCATTTATGTTGGACCTATGCCTTTATACTGAACTTGAGTTAATTGTGACTGTATTGTGTATAAGCTTGACTCCTTTCATATGTTATGAGAAACTAAATCCTTATGCTTCAGAGAATTTAATCTGGTGGAACTGGGTTACTGTTCATCAATGAATTTCTTGTGTCTTTTAAAGTAATACCACTAATCAAATGGGGCATCATCTTAATTGTCACTGCTTGGATCTTGGCTGTAAAGTTCTATATAGGATTCTGTAGATGATGGCTATTTTCAGGTAAAGTTGTTTGTGTTTTAACACTCAGAAACAGAAGAAATCCTTTCCACCGACCTTGTGCCTGGAGATATCATGTTGATTCCATCTAACGGGACAATTATGCCCTGCGATGCAGTGCTTCTCAGTGGTACTTGCATTGTAAATGAAAGTATGTTAACAGGTAAAGTAAACTCCATAGAGTTTTTGTTTTGTGCATCTGAAAACATTAGTTTATATCTTTGCGCATGCTTTAACGTGCCTCATGCTCTAACAGAAGTGGCTATGTTTATTTTGTTTGAAATATGTATCTTCTTGCAATTACATATTTCTGCTTATCTGCAATTATCTACCTAGTACTGCTTGGCAACTCGAGCGATGAGTGATGTTTCTTGTTGAAAAGCTTTCTTCTTAATGGTTTGTAACATTGCCTTTTGGCCTGATCAGGGCCGCATGAGTTCCACAGTGTGTTTCTTTGGAAAAATTGTGCCTACTTTTAACTGCTTCCAAGAATGAGGGTAGTGAGTAGAATGTCCTACTGTATTTAAAAAGCAGAAGAGATTATCTCAAGTTTGTGCTTGCATACCCTGAAACCAGGGACTGAAGTAGTTGAAGGATAGCTTCTGTGCATAGGATGGACCTTTTGTTATTCCTAGGAAAAATCTGTTCAAACAGGGCAGCATTTAGAAAGATCGTAGTTTCAATGCTCTGGGTTTGTATTTTGTCAGATTCCATTCTTGGAAGATCCTTGAGCCCCTTGCTGCTGCTAGTAACTTATAAAATTGCTTGCTGCCCTAGCCTTCAGTCACCGAAGGAGCTGAAAATAATTTCCCTAGGCTTTTAGTTATTCTGAGTGATAGGGTGAAGCGTTGCGGCAAGAGAAGGAAGCTTGCCCTGTTCAGTGAGCTGTATTTTGCACCTCTCTGGTATGAGAGTAAAAGGCAGAAAATCTGTTTTGGAGAATAATGAAAGAAGAATAATTAGGATTTGGACAAGGAACCTAGTGAGTCTAGCTCTCTCCTTATAAGTTGTTGGTCACGGCCTTATAACTTGTTGAAGGGAAGACGACTTCTTCGTTAGCTCTGCTTCTGTGCTATTGAAGTGGGATTGTGTTGTTCTACTGAAGTGTTCCTGAAGTTGTGAAGGGAAATGACTCTTCCTATTTGATCTTAGAGATTCTTTTTCCATTTAAGGTGAAAGCGTTCCTGTCACAAAGATTAATCTGCCAAATCCTTCAGAAGATCCAAAAGCAATGGGAGATGAAATATACAGTCCAGAAGTGCATAAACGGCATACTTTGTTCTGTGGAACCAATGTAATTCAAACCCGCTTTTATACTGGAGAATTAGTCAAAGCTCTCGTAGTGAGAACAGGTATAGATTTTAAGTTTATCACTTGTTAAGCATACCTACAAAACTGGATAATATGTTAGGAGTGTGGTGCTGAATGTTGCTAAGCTTGAGGAAATGACTATACCCCCAAATAATTTGATAAATGATGTCTCTTAAAACAGTAAGAGAACTAGATAATGACCTGGAGAGCATCAGTTGGGAAACAGGAAAGTAAATTAGTCTTTAGCCTCTATTTAAAAACTAGTTGGATGCATTTTTGACTCTCTTGATGTGTTTTACAGTGTTTTGGTTCAGCTACATTATGCTGCTATTCAAAGGTTTAGTATACCGCTTGATTGTGTGGGGGTGGTAGTGGAGAACCTCTTATTTGCTGGAGTCACTGACAATGCAAAATGTTTTTCTTGGTTTGTCATTTTGTCAAAGTAAATGCCAATGTTTGCTTAAAAATCTGATCTATATAGCCCTTTTCACAGCAATGCTTATACATACTGATATTTTAAAGGTTTAGTATTAATTTAGTATTATTTAGTGTCTGTGGTGTCTTCTCTTAACCTTAAATGTCATCTGTGTTCCTTGTAACTTTTATTTTCAAATATGACATTTTATGTACACAAAAAAAAAATAAGTTTTCCAGAATGGGTACAGAAATGAACTGCTGAAAACTATTTTTCCTGCAGAATAGAAGGAACATTAATGTGCTGTGTGTTTTCTCTCCCCGCCTCCTTCACAGTCTAGTATTATGGTCTGCAACTCATAAGGAGCCAAACACGTTCTTATTGCCTTGGCTACTCTTTGCCCAGGGCAGATCGGTATTTGTTCCTGTGCTATAAGCATGATGAAGTTAGCTTTGTGGACCTTTTGCGGATTTTGTGTATGGACAAGTTCCCTTTTCCTAATATGACTAGAGAGGAACAAAGGGATATAAAATTCTTTGTTCTCCTGCCTGGTGTGCAGGGATAGCCCTTATGCAAATAGGTGATTCCCCACTGTGCAGAATTGGATAGGAGATACCAGCACCAGGACATCTCAATCTGAAGATGTCTGATCTGAAGTAATTCTTACCTAGCGAGACATGAGTGAAAATACCTTCCCCTGAGGAAAGGGAATGCCACGAAGAGTGAAGGTATTCCAGAATTAAGTCCTTGGAAGGATTCTGGGAGAGCATAACTCCATGTGCTTATGTGCAAAGACGTACGGTCTTACGCTTGTCCTAAATCAGGATTTAGAATCAATCTGCTGGAATTGTGGTTTCACAGTACTCTTTTAGTAAGACTTGACTCTCTCTTAAGTAGCCTTTAACGTAAACTGTGTGACAGTATAGGTGAAGAATGCATAAAATACGGATGAACTAAATGTATTCACTTTTAATTCCTTGTTCCTGAAGCTCAATTCATGAATATGTTAATGTACTTCTCATTGTGTCTCCTATTGTAAATGAATACAAAACTGGTACTTTTTATAGAACAGAAGTATGAAGCCATCTGTATGTCCAGTATTTGCTCAAGGCATCGTATAAGGTTTTCTTTTACTGTTTTACCCTTGTGTGTTCTTAGCTTAGCCTATGTGGCTTCAGATTCTTCTACAAAACCATTGGAAAATCAAAACTACTTTTTTTTTTTGACTGCTGTATTGAATTACAAAGCATTCATTGCTAACTACTCAACAACATACTGAACTTCTCTAAACGGGTCCCTAATTTGTCTTCTGCAATAGCAAATTGAAAGCTTGGAGGCTGCAAGCCTTCTTGCTCTTGCGATGAACTCCATCGCTTTTAAGACTGATGCACTAGCTGCTTCATTCTGGTAGAATCTCATGTGCCAAATATCAGCATGGAGGACTTGGCCTTTGCCGCAATGGCTTACCGATTGAGAGGAGTTACCAAGGAGCTGTCGGTAATGCCAGCAGACCTGGTGTTGATACTGAGATAGTAGCAGTAGAGTTGGAAGCCTAAGCTTATACAAAATGCTCCAGGCATACAAATTTGAGCACTAGCATTGACCTCTCCAGCTGTCGAGGCAAAAGTTCAAGGGTGCCTACTGATCATCTGTCTCCAAGGTGTGAGGTGACATAATGTGATCAAGAGAAGGGTTTTTCCAAAAGAGTATTCAGAGCGCTGTATTATTCTTTTTTTGTGAGTCCCTTCTTTTTCTGGCTGTCAGAGGAGCCTATACAGACTTGCTGTTTAAATGCTTAAAGTTGGTCTCTACAAATAACTTCTTTTCACAAGGACAGGCACAATTAAACATCTAATAAATATACCTACTGGCTCTGCACTGTAAGGGGCAGAGCAAGAGCAAAATGCTGTGCAGTCAACTCTGCCAGCCCAAACAGTTTGGGTATTTATTGCCTCTGTAGAAGAGGGGATGATTTGTAGCAGCATTATGTTCTTTCCATAGTACAGAAGTACTTAGTATCAGATACACCTGCGTTTTTGAAGCACCTTAATTAAAGCATGGCAAAATATCTGTTCCTGTATACCAAGAAACTGTCCTAATAGAATGAGTAGCTTAAGGGTTTTGATATATTTAATAGTTTTGCTGTTATTTATGCTTTTAATAACTTAGTCCTTTTTATTTATAGGCTTTAGCACTGCTAAAGGACAACTTGTTCGTTCCATACTGTATCCAAAGCCAACTGATTTTAAGCTCTATAGAGATGCCTACTTATTTCTCCTGTCTCTGGTAGTGGTGGCAGGCATTGGCTTTCTTTACACAGTTGTCAATAGCATCTTAAACGAGGTATGTTTTCATTTCACTGTGTTCTTGTCCATAACTGCTTCATCTTAGAAAAGGATTGACCATGATTTCCAGCATACTTCCTCAGATGTTGAGAAACAATTTGTGGAATTACTGGATTTCTAAGTGGAAAAATTCTTATCTTTATTTTCTGTCTATTCTGGGGAGGGGGGGAAGCTTAGTGAGAGCAAGATTCAACAGAGAAACAGAATTTGACTATGTTACAATGATTTGCGTTTGTTGCCTCAGTTTTTACTGACCCAATTTCTGGATTTTATCTTTATTTTGTGTAAGAATTACCGTATGACCAATATCCAGTTGAAGGAAATTGGTTATGGCAAATGTAAAGCATGAACCTGGGGCGGGGAGGGGGAATACAGAAAGCAAGAAATTGACTATTTGATAACTTTATAATTCTTTTCTCTCAGAGTAATTCTGTATTATTTAGTCACTCTTTTTAAGTAATGTATTTGCAGAGGGGAGAGTGAAAACAGTTATAGGTTGTGGATGTTTTGGGACTGGATCGTCATGACTGCTTATCGGTAAAGATTGTGGTAGGTTCTGGGCACTTCACAATGTGCTGTGCTGGGGAAAGCAGCGCATGGATTTTTACCTTTAACAGTGATGTAACACTTCAGTGAGAAAGTGAATCTTTAAAGTAGCTGGTTCTTGTTCATAAACTTTGTTCGTCGTTGTTGCAGGTTCCAGCTCATACCATCATCATCGAGTCTCTCGACATTATCACTATCACAGTGCCTCCAGCACTCCCTGCTGCCATGACCGCCGGCATTGTTTATGCGCAGAAACGGTTGAAAAAAATTGGCATCTTCTGCATCAGCCCACAAAGGATAAATATTTGTGGCCAGCTGAATCTTGTGTGCTTTGATAAGGTTGGTTGACTTTTGCAACTTTGGTACCTGGAAGGTGGACTGTGCAGTAAAAGGAAATCCAAAAAGAGTAGCAACTACAGTGAAATCAATTACCTTGGAATAAGTTAGATGAGTTTTTCTAGTTTCAGGTCTTCAGTGTTTACCATCAGTTAATTCACTTAATTTAGACTCTGCTCTAAAAGTTCTTAAAATACGAAGCTCCTTTCTTAAGACTCCCAAGTCCTAATGTACTAGTGGCACCCCAAAAATGTGAGAGTAGGGGGCTCTTAAGACTTTGTTTTGCACACAGACTTCTGGAAAATCTCAAGTTTACATCTGCCGTCAGACTTGTTTCTCATTTTCGTGTGTTTCCAATGAAAAGGCAAACCGTTTTACTTCGGTCATGTTTCTGTTGAGGAAAAACAAAAGCCAGTAATACCACTAGCCAGAATCCTTTTCCTTCTGCTAATTCTTAAACTAAATTTCCTTTTCATCTTAGATTTTCATCTTAGATCTTAAGTATCCACACTAAATGTGTTATTTCCCTGGTAAATACATTCCAACTGCTGTTCTTAACTATGTAAGTAAGCAGTACTAAAAGTTTAATGCCTCTTTTCTTTTCCCAGCATGGGCTATTTGCCCTTTTGTCCTTCGTTCTGTTTCAGAATATAATGTAAGACACTTTCATAGATTCCAAAGATTGCATGTGCGCACGCACACGCCAGCCCTCAGAGTACAGAGGTGGTGAGCTCTCACTTTTGGATTTAAGAGTCTGTCTTCCATGCCCTGTCTCCAAGCAAGGACATGATTGCTTTGAATATTTTTATTTAAAAAAAGAAAATCACAAAACTGGAACTTAGTTATTAGCAAAAAGCCAAGGAGATATTTGAATTTTCTATTCTAAAATCTTAATTTCTTTTTTAAAGTGAAATTGAAATGAAATGTTAAGATGTAATTTGGGTTATTACCTGTTAATTTTTGCTTTACGTAAGGGTAACTTGGTTCTGAAGGCTTTTTCTCTTGCCACTCCCCTTGGTATGTTTTTCAGACTGGCACGCTTACTGAGGATGGCTTAGATCTTTGGGGAATTCAACGGGTGGAGTGTGCTCGGTAAGGATAAATGAGAGTTGATAACAAATATGATACTTGTTTGTGCTTTAACAGCTTCTGCAGAATAGAATAGAAGACTCAATGTGAGCTCAAATGTTTGCCTTTGTAATGGCCTGTAAGAAAGCAAGTGAGAATATTGTTTAGAGGTAATGAAAAGTTAATAACTCTTTTAGCACTCTGAACTAGAACTTAGCTAGCTGAAGTCTGAGACCCTGTTAGGTTCATACTGCAGAAAGGATGCCGTTTAAATTTGGCGTTTTTCCTTAATTCTGCCCTCTAAAGTGCTGACTCTTTGGATGGCTAAAAGAAATGGCTTGGTTAATTGGGTCACGCGCAAAGTGGTAAGAGGCCTCTGTGCAAGGAAATCTAACCGAAGAGTGAATTAACACAGAATTTCAGAGGAGCCAAAAGAAGATTCCAGCCCAGAGTCTTAATCTGTTTTCTGTGGTGTGTGAAAGTACTTGTGAAGAGACTTGTGCAGTCAATTGTCTTCTGTTAATCTAAACAAACTGTTTGAATTGGCTCATAATAAATAATTATAGTGCTAAGTATATTATAACTTCATTGTTTTAGTTTCCTTTTACCGGAAGAGAGGGCTTGCAGTGAGAGCTTGCTGAAGTCTGAGTTTGTTGCTTGCATGGCAACTTGTCATTCCCTTACAAAAATTGAAGGGGTACTTTCTGGGGACCCGCTTGATTTGAAGATGTTTGAAGCAATAGGATGGGTAAGTGTTTGCTTGTTTCAGGATAAGCAACATTTGTAAGCTCAGTAATCTGAAGTTTCCTACACTGTCATGTGCAAGATGCACCATTATATGCCAATTCAAGTTGTATCTTTAAAACGGTAGGCTTGTGACTGTTACTTATGTGTCGCTGTAAAAAGGAGCTCTTAATATGAAAGTTTTTCTAAAATGTGTTCTATGCAACAATTCATAAAGCTGAAAGAATTCGAACATCTAATTTACTGCATGTGTGTGTGGCAAAGTTTCAATGTATGTAATGCAGATTTAAAATTGCTAAGCAGATCTAACGTTAACTGCTAAAAATGTTGTTTAGAAAGATCATTGCATCTTGGGCTGACTTTCAGGGTTGTTTTTCTGACAGCTACATTATGAGAAAACCTAAGTTAATGAATGTATGAATTTAGTTGACTCTACATTTTTTAATACAGATTTTAGAAGAAGCAACCGAAGAAGAAACAGCGCTTCATAATCGAATCATGCCAACAGTGGTTCGTCCTTCAAAACAGCCTTTTCCAGAATCCAAGCAGGCAACAGATCAAGAAATGGTACACAAATTCAAAGCAATTCTTTGAATTAAACAAATCCTTTGAGTTGAACAAATACATTTTACCATATACTGTGGTCCTGGCTGTTATAATTCAAGCAGGATCAGAACTGTTTTTTTAAAAGGCAAAAGTCATACTTAAACTGTTGTTGAAGGAAGTGGTTTAGTAGATGCCACTTTCGAGACAACCAGGTTGCCAGCGCTGTTACTCTTAGAGATTGGTTGACAGATAAAGTAATTCTTTTTGAGCCTAGGCATTTTGATGTTAGTGTCATTGCCAGACTCTCACTGTGCTATTTAAGTGTTTCAGTCTGCTCACTCGCAGTTTCTGTTACCTAGATTATCACAAGGGAAGGTAGCTGGGGGGTGTTGCAGGTTGGTTGCTGCATGTGTCCTGTTTCTGCACAGCGGACAGAAACTTTTCTTTTGTTCAGAACTAAATGTGATTAGGTACATAACAGTGATTACTGTGGGGGAGATTACACATTATAAACGCTCTTGACACTCAGGATTTTGTTTTGTGATATAATTCAATAATCATGGCTTCGTTCTGAAACAATATTACTCATTTACATAGGCCAAACTGACACAGATTAGACTCAAAAGTCTTGCAGAAAGGCTGTACCATAAAACAATACACTATTTATCTTTGTTCATGTCTGCCTAGTATTAAAAATCAAGTTCAAGTGTCTTATTTAAGTAGAAGATACTAAATATGCAGTATGTTCATATTAAGTTATCATGAAATCATCTGTGAATGCAGTGTGACTTAAGACTGAGAATGCTGCGTAGATTCATTTGCAAATGTTTTGGTATCTGAAAATATTCAAAATGAAGATTTACAATAAATATCTTTTTTCTTTTTTTAGGAATTATTTGAGCTTTCGGTAAGTATGATTTTTTTTTTTATGTGAACATCCACCTCTCTTTAAGCACGTATGTGGCTGTAACCTTTTTTCCTCTTCTGTCCTGTATTATACAGACCAGCTATGAGATTGGAATTGTGCGCCAGTTTCCATTTTCTTCAGTTTTACAACGTATGTGTGTAATAGCCAGAGTTCTGGGGGAGAAGAGAATGGATGCTTACATGAAGGGTGCGCCTGAGGTGATTGCCAGTTTGTGTAAGCAGGAAACAGGTAAAGGAGAAAGCTGTGTGTGTGTGTGTGTGTCCACCCCCCCCCCGCCCCCCTAATGTAGCTAAGCTATAGTATGAACAATTGTAGTAACTCTGAACTTGATGGGCTCTTTTTTTTTTTTTCTTAAGTTCCTATTGACTTTGAGAGTGTCCTGGAAGAATACACTAAGCAGGGCTTCCGAGTTATTGCTCTTGCTCACAGAAAATTGGAGTCTAAGCTTACATGGCACAAAGTCCAGACTATTAATAGGTAAGAGTGACTTCACTTTTTTAATAAGTAACAAACTTGAAAACCTGCACGATGTGTATTAATTATGTGATGTTTGCTTTGGTTTGAATCAACTACAACTCCTGTTGATCTTTTTTCTGTCTTGACATACATAGTCCTGTGCATACTTTACTTGTACCTTGGACAATGCACGAGAAATTTAAGATAAGCAAGTTTTTCTGTAATAGAGTGAGTTCCGACAAACAGCCCTGAGCTTACTGTACTGTAATAACGTACTGTAATAAGTTTATGGTGTTTAATTTATGTTAACATGGCATAGAATCTCACCTGATTGTTCTGCAACGTGCACATACTTATGTTACCTCTGTCCTTTAAAGATAATGGCATCTCGTAGAAACCCTCAGGTGCGTGTCTGATTTATTTTCTTCATCTGTTGTGGGTAGGGTGACCATTTTCTCATTAGAAAACCTCTCGGTAGAAAGAGGGTGTTTTCTTTTTCTTTCTTGTAAGAATAGAACTTCCTTTTAATTATTTTTCATATGGTCCTAGTTTTGTGGATAATGATATTTTTTCCATAGAGTTTGAAGGTGCAGCGTTGTTACGAGAATGCTAACCTTGACTCTGTAGCTTTGTATCAGTTCTGTGCACAAGATGAATTTTGCCAAAACGATACAAGATGAAGAAACAGGTTTCCAGTTTCAGGTGTGAAAATCTACATTAGTAGTAGAATATCGGAGCCCTATGGATACTGACTTTCCTGGAAAACAGCCAAAAAAAATCTCAAATTAACTAATTAAGCAAATGACTAATTTTACTAATCTCTTTAGTTTTGAGAGCAAAACTTGGTAGCTAATATGGAGAAGAAATTCTAAATTAGAATTTCTGCTGCGCGTTCTAAATAAAATAAAAAATGGCCCTGCAGTCAGTTTCAGAGCATTTTTTCAGGAGTTACCTTTCTTTTTGAGAATGCAAGTGGTTGTAGAAAGAGTTCTTGCAGAGAAACGGAACGATTGTACTTGAGAGGAAACAACATTTTTTCATGCTGCTTTATGTTTTTATTTTAAACGTAAACAAAGGAAATAAGTATAAATGAATAGGGATAATAATACCTCTCAGGTCACTTTTTATAAAGCTGATTCTTCACGCTCTTCATGATTAAAAAATAAGCATTTCTCTTTACTTTGATAAACAGAAAAAATGAGCTCTTTAAACTACAGCTAGTAATTCAGTTCTTCTGAAGTTTTCTGTTACCTGTTTTTCTACAGAGACGCTATTGAAAGCAACATGGATTTTATGGGGTTAATTATAATGCAAAACAAGCTGAAGCAAGAAACCCCTGCTGTACTTGAAGATTTGCATAAAGCCAACATTCGCACTGTCATGGTTACAGGTTAGCATGTAAATACATTTATATTGAGAAGATATAACTCAGACCAAAAAAACATGGACTTGATAAGTGAAGCATTAAGTAAAATTTTAGTGCCAATAGACTGGGATTTTACTATGTTTATGCAAGAAGCCTAGCGTTTAAATTAGGTTATAGAATAGCGTTTAGGTTAGATATGGGTTTATAGCATAGAAGATGTTGTGAGACTGTTCAGACATCAGTCTGCTTCGCTGTGGGTGAAAGGAGCTCTGACAAGGCAGAGGTCTGAAATCGATATTGGCGTTATTCCACTTTGTAGCTTCCTCTCTCCAGCACCATGCATAAGTTGCTTTGCATTGGATTTGGAGTTTGAGCAGGAGGCTGGACTAGATGTGACCTCCTGAGGCTGCCTACCAGCCTGAGTTATCCTATGACAAGTTACTTTGAATTTTTTGTGAGACTAACTACATACATCCCTACAAGCAAGGCTGGGTTTGTCTGTAAGTGCGCTCAGTGTTTTCCATGTAGTGTTTGCTTTTCAATCACAGGTGTTGTAACTTTGGAAGAATGTGTTGATTGGCTGGAACTCGTTGTTGATCCTGCATGAGCTGTGACCATGTTTTTAGCAAGCGTACTTTAAACGACCACATGCTTTCTGCCTAGTTTTAACTATTTATTAAGGTTTAGTCATAAGACAGTTTTGCGGTGGAAAGAAGCAAACAATTTCTAGTGATGTTAGGGCAGTAGAAGGGTTTTACAGGGCTAAACTTTGACTGTTGTAGACTTGTATTGTGCTAAGGGTGTCAGTGTTAGGTTAGGCAGTCCTCTTGCTTTAAAACTGGCTTTGTTAGCGTGTCTCTTCTGTTGAATGTTAGTGCATGCTACTGATCCTTTTTTTTTAATAGAAACTTTTTTTTAAATGCAATTGTTTAACAGGGGATAACATGTTAACTGCTATCTCTGTGGCCAGAGACTGTGGAATGATTCTACCTCAGGATAAGGTCATTATTGCTGAAGCACTACCTCCAAAGGATGGGCAGGCTGCCAGGATCAACTGGCATTATGCAGATACCCTCGCAAAATGCACTAGTTCATCACCAGCCATAAACTCAGAGGTAATTTGAGCATTTTTTTCCCCTAGAGTGTTATCAATTAGATTTGCTGTTAAGTTTTTCTTTTTTGAAATTATTTCATGAAGCACCTTGGCAAATCAAAATCAAGATATTGGTTAACTTTCAGATAGTAAAATACTAAAGAGTGATAAAATAGTTTGGAGTTACTTTTTCAACTTTGATTTATAGCATGTGAGATTTGGCATTTTAGCTGTGCAGGAGGCAGTTTTGCTACTCTTAAGTCTGTTAAGACTGCTCTAGCTCCTTGTAATTGGAACATGGTGAGCTATATGTTCTTGTTTTCAAGTAGGTGTTTATATTGCATAAGATTTTCTTTTAATTAAAATTTTCTGAAGCTTACACTAGTGTGATATCTGCAGAGATATCTGCTTTGAGTGTTAGCTTAAAGTTGCAAGGTATCTATGTAAATACATTACCTCTAGAGAATTGAAATACTTTTGATGATAGGATATTCCGATTAAATTGGTTCATGAAAGCCTTGAGGATCTCCAGATGACCAAATACCATTTTGCAATGAATGGAAAGTCATTTGCAGTGATTTTGGAGCATTTCCAGGACCTGGTACCCAAGGTGAGCAGTTTACTTGAGTTTGGGCCCTTTTGATGATGGATAGACTTTGTCCTGTGATGAACAGTAAGAAATGTCCTGTTTTCCAGCTTGTGTTACATGGCACTGTGTTTGCTCGCATGGCACCTGATCAGAAAACTCAGCTGGTGGAAGCTTTACAAAATGTAGAGTAAGTACAAGGGGGGAGGGAGGGAGCTTTGACAACGTGTTCAGTGTATTAGGAAAAAAAATCTCCCTGTGTGTGCTATACGCTGTTAAACCAAATGAGGAAAGCTTTCTTGAGTTGGTAACTCGGAACATAAGCCAAACTGGAATGAGAACAGTACCATCTGCTGGTCAGTTGTGAAAAATCTTATTTTATGGAAGTTTACTCTGATAAATAGCTAACCTGACTGGCATATTTCTAAATCTGGTTACTTGGCTTAGTAAACAAATGTCTTGGATGTCTTGGATGTCTCTTGTTTGTTAAAGAGGTATTAAAGTGATAACTTCTATTCGTGAATCTATCGTATCCTGTGTGTTGTTGCTAGGCCTCAAACTATTTATTAACTTTGAGACTGTTACTCGTGTGACTGCTTTTTTTTCCTCCTTGTTTTTTCTGAAATTTGATCGTCCTGATGCTTTTAGGATTGTAAAACTTTGTAGCGATACCAAGTGCTGCAAAAGTCTGTCCTTCCTAGAGCAAAAGATGCTTTAGACCTTGGAATGACAGAAGGATAGTAACCGTTATTGATTTGATTGGCCTGGATATGTCATGTTACTTCTCTGTTTGCTTTTTCTGTCTGCTTCCTTATGTGTATAATGGGAATAGTAATTCGTTTATCAAGGATCACTTTTGTCTGTACGTGTCCTGAATATGTCAAGTAATATAAATGTATTTAGAGATATAAATTAAATGGGCTGTTATTAGGGAATGGTGCAGAAAGCTGACATCTGTTTGGTTTTTATAGTTACTATGTGGGCATGTGTGGAGATGGTGCAAATGATTGTGGAGTAAGTATGTTTTCATTTTACATGCAGAGCTGTTTGGTTAAATTTTACAGCTGAGAGACTGCTTTAAAAATGTCATCTCTTATTTTGATGCTAACTGGCAGGCACTAAAGAGGGCACATGGTGGCATATCTTTGTCTGAACTTGAGGCTTCTGTGGCATCGCCATTCACTTCCAGAACACCTAGTATTTCCTGCGTGCCAAAGCTGATCAGGTAATATCACTTGCTGTGCCTTTAACAAATACTGTTCTCTATATAAATGCAATTAACAGTATTCAAAGCAGTGTTTTATAGACCACTGGTAAGCTAGCTTGAAGCAGTGTGTGCATCCATATGCATCCAACTTGTTCTGCATGCTCTATCTTAGTACGTGTTTGATGTTACAGGAAGCCCATTTGAATTAAAGTGCAAGCAATAAGTTTTTAGTAATTTGTGCTTCTTTAGTAAAGACCCTTTGCGTAAAGGCGTGCCGTGGCAGAGTTCAGCGTTTTATTTACCTTTTGCCCTTGTAAAGCACACTTTTGTGCAACAGCTTCTAAAATTAGTGCTTAATTTAGTATCTTGTGAACTATTGTAGTTTCCATGAGGACTATGTGTAATTATAAGCAGTAAAATTCTTCAGTTAACTTCAGTCCTCAGCACTGTCCTGAATGGGGTTTGGCAGATTTTTTTGATTCTAGAATTGGAAGTTACCTAATTGTTTTGGATAAAGGTCAGCCAGAGAAGAATCTAGTTTAATCTTTGTGGAATTCATGGAAGTAATGCATAATCGGAAACATCTCTGAAAGCAGCAACTGTGACTGACTGCGTGCTCGTTCACCGCATAATAAACTTAGGCGGAATAGATGCTTTTCAGGCACAAATTCATTTAAAAACAGTCATTGGAAAACCACGCAAAGTCAAAGAACGCTGAAGCAAGGCGGTGCCTCTGTTCAGAAGGCCCTCTCAGCTTTGATGCACTTGGAAGTGTACCATTTCTACCCCTTTTTTCTCTACATGCCTCTGCTCTGTCTTCAGCGTTATGCATCTCAAAGGGTTTGATATGTTTAATCTTAGCTAACGTTTTGCTAAGCAGAGTATAACTGCCTGCATAGAAAGCTCACTAGTGACATAAAATCGTGTTTGTTTTGACAGGGAAGGCCGTGCTGCTTTAATAACTTCCTTCTGTGTTTTTAAGTTCATGGCATTATACAGCATTATCCAGTACATCAGTGTTACGCTGCTGTATTCTGTAAGTATTTAAGTGTTGTGCTTAATCTCTGAATTACATGAATATTACTTAAAAGTTCATAAATATTTAGCATAAATTGTTGCAGTTCTCTCTGAGTATGTGTAAGTAACATATACCTTCTAAAATCTTTGGATTAAAGGTAATGCTAGTTCTGGTGTTTTCTATACTGGCTATATGAAAAACATTGCCGCATCCATTTTTAAAAGGCATTAATTAATCCCTGCAGTTGGAAAGTCTGTACAATGAATGGGAAGTCCAAATAAGTACAGAAGTGGAAAAAAATATGATTTTTCCATTATTTAAAGACCGTCAGCATTTAAAACATCCTAACTTAATTTAAAGGCAGTACATTCCCTTTATGTCAGGATTGAAGCAGAGCAGATACAAGGATTGAGTTAGGAGGGGGAAAAAAACCGCGTGGAGTATTTTCTGTTGATATGATTGGACTCACTGTAGTGTCATGTGGTGGAAAATCCTGTACTTTAATTTGCGTGCGTAACTTACCCAAAATACAAAGTACTAAAGGAACTTGGAGATGGAAATTCTGACAACTGAATGGCTACGTAGTGGGGCTATGGTGTTTAGAGCTGTGGGCCTAAGCTTTTATTTAATGGATTTGTAAGATTCCCTGCTAAGTTTTGATTAAGAACAACTTTCAATTAACAGCTTATGTATTTTGAATCTGAAACAAGCTGTTTCATACCTTTCTACTTCAAGATTTGATCTGTGAACTGTAGAGTACTCAAGACTCTACCAGATTTAAGGCAATCTCTTGCCAAACTGGCTCCCTTTTTTATAGAGTAAAACTTAAAGAGTTAATGTAGTAGGATTGTTACTGTAAGATGTTTCTTGGTGTGAAGAAGTTACCAATGTTTCAGTTGTGATTTCTGTCTAGATCCTGAGCAATCTGGGAGACTTCCAGTTTCTCTTCATTGATTTGGCAATCATTTTGGTGGTTGTCTTCACTAGTAAGTACTGTGATGAATTATCCCTACTGGCTTCCGTACCGTTCCACTATCTTCCAGCTATGAGCAATGAAGCAAAGAGAATTTTCTTTAACATTGTATTACATGCTGTTGGTTGGAGTGAGCACCATGCCCCACGGTTAAGATGTTACAATTATTGCAGTATATGAATTAAGCAACTCTGAACTGAATACAGCTGAGATTTGTGAAAAGACCTCTTATGAAAAACGGGTCATGGATATGATCTTATAAATGCAGTTCTTCACAAAATGGGGAGGCAAAAAGTTGTCCTGAAATGAGGAAGCTATTGGTAGAATCAAAACCTTACCTGTGCCAACATCATTTTTCTCAAATGTCTTTAATTTCTTGCATATTTAGTTGGACTTCTGTCTGCAAAGGATTATACTTATTGTAACCTGCTGTCTAGTGAAGTATTTAAGTCCACATATGAAAGCAGTGGTCAGTTTGCAGGTTAACATTAGAATTCCGCTTTCCAAGATTTAAAGAAATGAGTTCCCCAAAGCCATGGGAGAGCAAAACCGAAGAGAGGCGATATAGTGCTTGTGCCAGAAAAATTCAGCTTAAGACTAAGTTCTTAAGACCGCCACATCTGGGATGTGGCGAAACACACTGCTAATTCCTTTAGTCTTGTATCTGCTATTATTGTCCTCTTTCATCCTGTGCTGTCAGGAGTAACCAACCTATAGGAGTCACTGTGACAATAAACTGGCAAGGCATAGTCTTGTACAGGCGGTTTCACAGCGGAGGTTCTGAACCACGCAGGCAAATGTGTTAAGTGTAAAGCCCTAGAGGTCATTGGCAGGCCATTCTAATTCCGTAGAATGTGAAGAGGGTAACTCTTGAGAGGCGTAATGATTCAACGTATAGCTTACTTTTCTTTCTCTTTGCAGTGAGTTTGAACCCTGCTTGGAAGGAACTTGTTGCGCAAAGGCCTCCATCAGGTCTTATCTCAGGTCCACTTTTGTGTTCCGTTTTGTCTCAGATCATCATCTGCTTTGCTTTCCAAATCCTTGGGTTTTTTTGGGTCAGACAACAGTCTTGGTATGAGCATTGGACAACAGAATCTGCGTAAGTGTTTCAGTGGCTCCATGCTGGAGATGAGATAATGACTGAAAGGGAATAGTCAATAATTGCTCTTTTCTTTATCCACGCCCTTTGGGGACTGAGCCTTCTGTATGGCAGTTTGTTAGCTGAACCAGGCTAATGACTGGAAAACACAGTCTAATGTTTGATTTGAGGGAAGAAGAATGTGGGGAAAATGTATAGTACAAATGGAAATTATGATTAGGCAGCAAGAAAAGTAGGTGTCTTCTTTATCTGCATGTAGGCATTGTCCAAAAAGATGGAGATAATCTAGTGGGAGAATGTTCACAGATTTGATTTCTAGGTGGAGGGAAGGACAAGAAACAACAAATAATGACTGATTATGGGATAATATTTTGTTAAAAGCATATTGATAAATATAGGAGTTATTCAGTGGCTGAAATGAAAAATTGAGTCAGAGCCAAACTATACGAGATCTGAATATTCTTCAACTCTGGGACAGCTGAGATCCAAATTTGAAATTTGTGGTCCAGACCTATTTTAATTCTTAGACTATATAGTCATGTTATCCCGTTGTAGTTCCAATAAATCACATTCAAATTTATGAAGAGAGCTGTTTGTATCTTTTCTTAGTTTGCAGTATTTTCTTACCTTGTCATCGAAGTGCACCTGTAATGATAGTTCCTAAAACAGTTCATGTAGGGAACTTACAGGCTGGACACATACGAGAATTCGAAGCTCAAAATCACAAAACTCGTTACCTCCGTACTCCAGTTTTGACTTATTACCTGTATTAGATTTTCAAGGATATGCTTATTTTAATTACTGTAGCAATTTATGGCCATTGCTTTTTTTAATAATAGGTTCTAGCTTTATTTTCATTTCTCCTTAACTCTGTGTTAAATGTTTTTTGTGTTGTAGTGTGTGTCATTTATTGGATGCCACAAGCACCAGCTCTGCCCACTATGAGAACGAGACTCTCCATGATGAACATAACATTAAAAATTATGAAAACACGACTTTGTTTTTTATCTCCAGCTTTCAGTACCTCATAGTGGCAATTGTCTTTTCTAAAGGAAAGCCCTTTAGACAACCATGCTACAAAAATTGTAAGTACTTCTTTTTCTGTGTACAGTTGCAAGTAAAACTCCACATTACTTATCCGCGTACTTATCGATGGTTTGCTTACAATCCGGTTGTGCTCCTTCAGCAGTAATAGCATTGCTATGAGAAGGTGGGATGGTTATCCTCTGATAATCATAGAAATAAAGAAGTATTAAACAACATGTGTGGGGAAATTTGTGTTAACAACTTCTTGGTTTGTAGAAGACAAGAATATCTATATTTCTTCAGAGTACAAATATGTGAAATATACTTCTAATGAGGATGTGATTTTTTTTTTTTTGGTTTTGTTTCCTGTTGCGTAAATAGACGTATAAAGCTGTCATATCTCTGGCAACAGAGAGAGGCAAAGTGCTTTGGGAGAAGAGTGATACAGCTGCTTGTCTCAGTTTGGTGTGAATTTACTCCTAAATCGCTCTGTTCTGGTAGTCTTATTCTTTCTCAAAAAGCTTCCACAAGTAGCTGCTTTTCAGTCCTTTTTGCTCTGTGCGGTGTGCTATTGTTCTTTTGCTCCAGTATGGCCATTGGATGCCATGGCTGAGTGGGCCAGCTGGCTCTTTTGGGACTTTTACTTCTGCAGGCGAGCCAGTGAGGCTCTGGCCTTTTGTCTCTTCATGGCTATTGGCAATGCAGCACAACTCATATTTCCAACAATCTGCCTGGATGGGGTTTAGAGGGCAAAAATAAGGTATTTCCAGGGAATAATGAACCTCTGATATATGCAAAACCTATCTAAAGTCTTTGACTGGGAGATAACCTGATTTTTTTCTTTTCTTTCTCTCTCTCTCTCTCTCTCTTTTTTTTCCAGTTCTGTTTGTTATATCTGTGATAGTTCTTTATGTCTTCATATTTTTCATCATGTTGCATCCAGTTGAATCTATTGACACGTTTCTTGAGGTAAGATTCGATAGATACATGCACAGACTTCTGTACTTCCTCAGATAACAGGTTAGCTTCTTTTTGGCATACTTGACCCTTTAGAGCTGTGACTTTTCGTCTGTGGCTGGCAGGGAGTAACTTAAACCAAATTAATATGTACTTGTAGGGACACAACTGAAATGCTTAATTTAGTTAGCATCCCCCTTTTTTGCCAAAAACTTTGCACCGAATTTACAACTGGATCACTGATTAGAGCCCTTAAGTTTTCTCAGGGAAATGCCTTGAGTGAGAAAGAATATTACCTAATGCACTCTGCATTAAGTGTTGATAAGCTCTATTGCATTTAAGTTTCTATATGTATAGACTTGTGCCTTTATAATGTGTGTGTATGAGTTTACAACTACCGGTTTGTTTTGAACGTTTGTGTCATTTTACTTTGTGCGCATGTTGTTAACCTCTGGCAACTTTTTCTCACAGCTCGTGTGTGTGCCATATGAGTGGCGTCTAAGAATTCTCATCATTGTTGTTGTCAATGCAATTGTATCCGTGTTGGTGGAGGTAAGAAATTCAAATGGAAAAAATACTTGTGTACTTAGTGTTTTCAGGGTACAGATTTGTCTTGTGTTTAGAAGGTCTCTGTTGAGAACACATCTATGGAAATGGAGCAGTTGTTATTTTCTAAGGTTATACTTCTGCAAGTGTACTTCTAGGCTAGATTTAAGGTGTCAAAGTTTTCTATGTTAAAGGTATAACTTTAAAAACATTTTTTCCTCAAAGAAGAGGGAATGGAAATTGGAAAGGCTTAAATGCAGAGTATTGTCCTAAGAAGTAGTTGAAGTTTATCTGCTGAAATAATTCACTTCAGGATAACATACCATAGTAAAGAAATAAACGTTGCAGACCATTATATATAATCCTTAGGGGAGTCGATCTTTATTCTGTTGAATCATATACATAGCTTATTGTTTGGAATATTACGTGTCTATATAACCTGCTCATCCAGTCTGATTCCAATAGTTTGCTCAAGTCCAAAAGTAGAGATATTTGTGCAGATCTGCTTTTTCTGGCCCTGAGCTTGTCCGCATGCAGTCAGTTTGGATATTGACCTCTTCTGCTGCGATTCTGGAGTTAGCGTGGGCAGAAACACACTCTACCTTTCATCCAGACACCCCTATGTTATTTTCAAGAACTGGGATTTAATTGAGGTGCATCTTCCAGAAAGAGTCAAGATTCGAAGGCAGTCATTTATTCCTGTGGTTAGGTCTTCTCCCTGATAAAATGATGACTTATTTCCAACCTAAATGCGTTTGGTTTTTGACTGCACTCACCAGCTACTTTTTTTTTTCCCCCCTGCAGGATGAAAAGACGTTTTAGTACTATCTAGCGCTTATGCAGTACAACTATCCTTTTTCCTGTATGACACTTCCTGCAGCTTTTAGTCAGTATTTCCATTACCGTGTGAGGGATCCCTATCAAATAAGCAGCATACTATTGCTTTGCATCATACCGTTCTGGCCTTTGAATACTGCTACAGCATTAATACTCTTTCCAGTTAAGATTAAGTTTTCTGCTTTATTCATGACTTCAAAACATTGGTTGCTTGTGTTGTTTTTACTTAGGATGCTTTGATTAAAGTTACAAAGACTTTGAATTCTATTTTATTCTTCTCTATAGGGAACATATATTTCATCATTTTCACGTGATGTGAGAATGTGTTTTTTTTCAGAAACACAAACAGAGTAGATATTAAATTCTTTGACTTCTGCCTTGCTAACAAATTTATTCCCTCCTAAAGATCCTGTTCCTTGCTAAGATGACTCTGTATTTATTTTAACCCTGCTTGTCATGGAGCTTTCACTTATGCCCTTAATTCTGTCATATTTTTGAACTATTAAGTTATTAATTTTTGACTACCTTTTTATTTTTTAAAAGTTAAATTTTATATATATTACTTTCTTCATCACTGACCCAGAATGGTGGTTCTGAGGCTGCAGAATCATAGGATTTTTTTGTTTTTTTTTTTTTTTAATTTTTTTAAAGCTCCTAGATTAAAATATTTTTTCTATTTGCTTTTTCTCTTTAGCCAATCCTGATATTTTTATTGCAACAATCCCTGGAAATCGGCTTTTTTGAAGCACTAAGAAATTACTGTTTGGGACTGACCTTTGTGTAAATGTATTGAGCATAAAAAGGTGGTGATTACAGTCTTCAGTCCAGTGAAATTCTAAGAGAAATAAGTTTTAAGCTATCTGTTGGAGAAATTACACAGATAATCTTTCGAACTTTTAGACGTATGGGTATGTCTCAATACTAGAAGTGCAAAGTTTCTGGCAGAAAGTCAGCTCTAGCATGGTGTCAATCTGTGCGTCAGCACATGTCTTGAGGACGAAATTCTTCTGTCTTAAATTTAGTGTTCTTAAGATTCTGCTCCGGGACCTTGGTTGCCACCTCAGTCTGTAAATCTTGGAGTTTTCAGTAAGCATAACCTAAGTAGCACCTACTGCAAAGCATTTGCCTTCCCTCAATGTTTCAGTCCCACACCCTTCTTCCTGTACAGGTAATAATTAGTAACGTGTAACACTTCAGTCACTTATCGTTGCCAGAACTGGTGGGATGATTTCTTGCATTCCTTTTAGACAGACTTTCCTGTTTGTCTTGTTGCCCACGCTTTAGTAGTGAAATAGGAGTAATTTTAGAATTCGGTTTTCTTGACACTTACTGGTTGGGACGTGCTGCATTTGACTTAAACTACTTCTTCCGCTTTCACTGTTAGTTGTGATGTGCTTTGTTTGGACAGAGATAAGCTGTCCTGCTATGTGGTGAGTTTCCAATAGGAGCGTTGCCCAGCGATCCTCGAATCCTAAGCCTTGTTTTACGATATATATTTTCACCTTACATTTTGATCTTTTGTCCCACCCTTTGAACTGTATTTGTCCAACTCCAGTAGTATTATTTCAGGATCCTTGAGGCTTTTTCATGCAGTGCCAGCTCATTAGTTCCAGTGTGTTGGGGAGGAATCACAAGCTATTTCATTCATTCACTTGCAGTGCAGGTTTTCAGTGAGCAACATTTCAGTAAGCATCGCCCTTCTGTCCTTGTGTACCTGATCGGATTTTCTTCTCAGACTTTTCACTACAGAGTTACCGAGTACAGCAGTTCACGTTCTTAGTATCTAGGAAAAGCTGCCGGTGGCATCTACTTGTTTCAACAAGGCACTCTGTAGGTGTACGTAATCCATAGTTTCTGTTCAGTCTGCTGAGACAAATTCTGTAGTATTGTCTCCAAGTGCCTCGTAATGATGTGATAAGCGGAGAGGTTAGATCACTCTTAATGTGTTATGCTTGTCAATTTGACACTCTTGCCTCCACTGCCATCTAGTTTCTTAATTGTTTCCACAACAGGAATGATTTCTGAATGTGTTTGTCCAAAACATGTTTTCTGGAATGCTGTAAAGCTTTTGCTCTGTCCCCGTGGGTGCCAGACTAAATTCACAATTCACGCTTATTCTTTCTTCTAGATGGTAGAAAATACAGCACAACAAAGGCAAATCTTAGCAGTTGTTCCTCCTCATTTCAAATGCCTGATACAGACACATACTTAAACCAGAAGGAAACGGAGCAGCTTCAAAAACAAGCTTTTAACAAGCTCAGGGATTGTTTGGCAAATGCTTCGTATACAAGTCTAGTTGATCAGCTCCCCTTTTTCAGTGGTAGAGATTAGTCAGATGTTGAACGCGGAATCTGCTCAAAAATCAGAGGGTCATAGGCTTAAGGCCTTGGGAAGTACAGGTTCACATCTGTTTTGCCCAATTTGTTCCAGGCTCTCTAGTCCACCCACACAGCCTGGAAAGAATAACTAGATGCGCAGAACATAGTGCACAACATCTACCCTCTCTTCCAAAAATCAGGAACAGCACCTAAGGCCTTCAGAATTCTTTTTAGTGGTGTGGGTTTGCCACCCCACGCAAGCTTTTCTGTGTATGTCACTGGTTTAAAAAAAAAAAAAAAACCTACAGTATGAAGTACACTACAGTGCTAAAGGTGATTTCAGAAAATGTTGCTTTAAGCGCTGATGTGTGCAGTGCTTCAGGTTTTTAAAAAAAGTGTTGAAACACTTTATGTGTATTTATATATTTTTAACTGTACTAATGAATGCAGTTTTGGTCAGTATTGCAATTGCTTTGAAGTACATGTTCCTATTCTTAAATCTCAGGTGAGCACTTAAATGAAAATGTTAAGTACTTAAGTACTGACAAATAATGTAAGCTCTTTGTTTTGCCTGGCACTGAATTAGTTATGCCTAACACACTATTTCAAATTTTATTTGTAATGTGCACACTAACAACAAATGATCACTAGTTTCTTTAATTCTTCCCACTCACTGCAATGTCTCACAGAATGTCCTCCTTGATATGATCCTTTGGAAGGTTGTGTTCAATCGAGACAAACAAGGAGAATATCGCCTCACCATACCCCAGCCGCCTCAGGTTGGAGACTAGTATTTTGCTGTCTTCATTTGAGTGCATGCAAATTAATTCAATTTTGTGTCTTTTTACGATCTAAAAAAGTATCTTTTGTCTTAAGCTTAAAACTGTTTAAATTGGATTTCTGTAACTTGAATATTAAAAGGAATGGCTTTTAGTTTTGTATTTCTCTCCTTGTTAACACCTGTATGCTAAAGAATTTAGCTCTGTATGCAAGAACTAAGAAACAAACCTGGAAGTGCTTTTGAGACTTTTCCCGCTTTATCCGCAGTTTGCATATTAGCAAATTTCATTTGCATTTTAGCAGCACATTAGCATAATAGGACCAGAGATGTCTTGATTTACTTGGAAGCAGAGTTGCTAACTCTGGGTCTAATCCAGTCCTTGAGTAAATGAACTTGATTTAGGTTTCTAGAGCATTATCTGCAAGAGCAGTAACTTCTAGCACATACAAATGAAACGAAACAAAAAGGCAAATGAGGGTACGTTATTACTAATTCGAGTGGTTTAAGAGACTCCAAACTTTAGCTTCTCTTCAGGTGATCATGAATCTTAGTCTGATCTGCCCCTCTATCATTAATATATGAAGGAAGTCTCTATGAATCCCATAGAAGTTAGGCTTTTTTAAAGCCTTTTGGCTTATTACTTTTAGCTGGTTGTATACTTGCTCTTTCTAAGAACTACGATGCTTTGTTTTTCAGCAGTAAATTTTATTAAATGTATTCACTTCAGAGTTGCACTTGCCCTTTTGAGGCTGTTCAAGAACAAATTGCTTTGTATTCACTGAAGAACAAACTTGTGGATAAGGCTCATGTGCGGTTCTGTTCACCCGTATATAGACATTCAGAGCATGAATAAACCTGTGTATCTTCATCAGAACGTCAGCCATGCAAAATACAGGTGCTTTCTGAGAAATGAGAGGAATCCAATACTTTGAGAATAGTGGGTGGTACTTCTCTTCTCTAGGTAGCTAAGTTGCATGTATTTAGGATTGGGAGAAGAGAAGTAGAAGGTTTTAGTTCAGTGCTTTGTGTCTCTTTTAGTAACTGTCTATCCTACCTGCCTGTAGGACTTATTTCCTGTAGTGGAATGCAGTTAGAATTCTCACGGTGGTTAAATTCTCGTGGTTGGTTGGATGCCTTCAGCTAAACAATTCATTGTGAACAAATTCATTCATTCATTGAGAATCTCTGGGAATTTGGGAATTTTGCTGCTTTTTCTAGACCAGGTTCTTTCTCTTCAATAGCAGCGCTGTTTAATGGTACCTGTTAATACTTCTACTTACTTAAAACTATTTATTAAAATATAAATGAAATTTGTTGGTGATCCTTTATGTTACTGTAATGCAGAATACTTTTGTTTTTAGTGTTTTTTAACGTTGTTGCTACCATAGTATAGAAGAGATATGACCATACAGAAAAACTTCTGTGCGGTGCTTTCTAAATCTAACATGATAATGACGCAGTAAATTAGAAACTAAAATAGTGGATTTTGTTCTAGTGACTTACTCTGTGGTTTGTTGTATTAACTAATTCTGCTTCGGTAATCAGTTTTTAAATTTGTTTCCTTCTACAGGAGGCTGTGGATCGCTGGGGAGTTTGTTTCCTTTCTTCGCTGTTCGGTTGTAGAGAGAAGACACCAAAAGCCAAGTATATGCATCTAGCTCAGGAACTGCTGGTTGACCCAGAATGGCCACCGAAACCCAGAACAACAACAGAAGCTAAAGCACCATCTCAAGAAAATGGCTCATATCAAATCATCACAGTCACGTAACAGTGGATCTTGGTCGCATGCATCTTTAGTAGAGTTCAGAAGAATGTAATTTTCAGGCTTTATTTAAAATTACAGTATACTAAATGTCAAATTCTGATACAGATACTTCCAACTGTTTTTGTCTCTCTGAATACAGAGTTCAGAGCCAGACATATTATGGCTGTACGTTTTTAAAATGTAGGTTAGCTTAGGCAGAACAAAACTGGTCATCTTTTCTTCCACCTCCTTCTAACTTAAAAGTATCACTACTCCAAAATGAGATGTATTTGAAGTTTTAAACTGCAGGGCAGTTAAACAGGTTCACCTGATTTGCCTGGAATATCTTAATCATTGTTCTGGCCTGTTTACCAGGGCACATATTAATGTAAGCTCTATGATGTAGTGCTTTCATGGTAGTACTAGAGGCACATAATGACTTTTCATGTTGGTTTTTTTGACTGTTTTCTTGTGTGCGTGGTGGGTTTTTTTTCTTTTTTTTTAATTTTCACTGTTGAAAAGCTTTGTGCCTCAGAATGGTTCTAAAGTTTTGATGAGTGTACCTTTTTTTTTTTTTTTTTGTCCCTACTAGTAAGGAGTGTTTCTAGGTATAAAAGTTTGAGTTTTAAATTTAGTTCCTTAGTCTGCCACAGCGGGAATTGGGAACACTATAGAAACAATATGCTCTGTCCCTAAGCAGAAAATGCGTTCTTCTCAAGTGGGTTCTTAGCATCTCTTCTAGCTAACCCTGAAAAAGTGAAGACAAACTCCAGTAAAGGAAGCATTAGACTACACCTTTTTGTTTTTGGAGAAGAAAGGCTGGAGAGCCTAGCATTTTCTTCTCCATCTCACTTTTATTATATTTAACTAGACATATCTCCACAGACCTTACTTTTTTTTCAACAGAAGGACCAGGTTTTATTTTCAGATCTTAAGAGAATTGTATTATATGCCTTGAATTAGTAAGGCCAAAGTTACTGCTGCAAGGAGAGGGTGGGGGAAAATATGTTCGCAAGCCCACACTTGGGACTTTTGCATGATAAAGAACGCATGCATTTCAATGAGTCTGCCAATATCTTAAGCTCTATATGTAGCTGTATGAAGCAAAATTAAGAGAAAATAGATGAGGAGCTAAAAATAAACTAAGGCTTATCTGTTTTTTTTTTTTAAAACTTACATCACCAGCAATGCTGCTTCAGTGCTTAGGGTAGCAATGCACGACTTTGCCATTAGGTGGTATCAAAGAAAAACCAAGATCTCCAGAAAAAAGCTCAACAAAGACGTAGGGGCAGGCGTCGTCTTCACAAGCAGAGCTTAAAGAAAAAGGTTTTTTAGTCAATGGGAAAAAAAACGTCCAGCTACTTATCTTCAAACCATCTCCCTCTTGCTGAACTTCCGAAAGACTTTGTCTTTAGGCAGTTAGCAAAAATATTGGCTTTTGATCTGTCTTTTTTTAACGAGGTGAAACTGATTTGTACACCTCTAAACTTTGAGAAGTGGAACTAAGATCCAGAGCTGACCTTTAGAGAACTCGTATAAAGAGTGGAGGGAGGGCCCCAAACTGGCTTGAGATTTTTGATGTGTGTGTGTATTCCGATGACAGAATTTGAAATGATGGGCTCTTTTCGTTTGTTTTTATTTTTCAAATTCCTTTGGAGACTATTCCATTCCAGAATTGTTTTAGTGAGTGAAATTTTTCCAGGTCAGGCCTAATTTCCTTGTGCTTTTCTGTAAGGCAGTGTGTGGCAGTATCCCCCACTGTTCATTTTAGGATTTTTGCAGTGTTGAACTTACTGTGCCAATGGTGAATTTAAAAGTGGTGCTAAATGGTTTGGAAGATGTTTTTCTAGAACTTGAGGGTTAGTAGATAATAACATTTGCTCCTCAGAAATAGTATGCTTATGGTAGACTATCCTCCAGTCCAGCTGTCAGCTCTTTTCCTGATTTTTTTTTTTAAACTCTTTTTTTGGGGTGGGAGGGGATGGAGCGGAGGAAGGAAGAAAGTTATGTTACTAGCAGTCATTCAGCAGAGCAGTGTAAAAGTCTACTTAACCTGCTTTCTTCTGGTCATGAATATCAGTTGAAACTGGTAGCTTTTAAAGGATCTGAAATTGTGGACTAGGTTGAATTTGCTAATCATGAACTTGAGTCAGTTGGCTAATTTCTACCAATGTTGATTTCATACAGCTTTGTAGCATGGAATAACTGATGAAGAATAATTCTTAGATGAGTAAGTAGTATTCCAAAATCTAAAGAAAAATTATATTGAAAAATGTTGTGAAGCTATGCATCTTGGACCTAGGAGCTGTGACTTATCCTTAAACAAATAAGCTTTGTTTTCCATTTCATTGATCATTTTAGCTTGTTGGTTGCATCAGAAGTGAAAGGAAAAAATGTTTGCCTTTTTCTCTTATGTGCTTTTGCTTGGTACTTTCTCGCTAAACTGCTAATTTCTCTCTGCATATTTGGGTTCTGAAGCTAGTCTTTCAATCATATTATTCTACTATATTGGATTCATCTAGAAAGTGAGGAGGAAACCACTTATTAAGGTGGACTTTCAGAGAACACTTTATGGAATTTTTCTTACTAAAACTGAAATAGCCCAGTGTCTCCATTTGTTGAAATTGATGATTAATGGGGCTAATCACTAATTAGGGTCACAAGCATATTAATTTCCTCAAGATATGCGTTCAGAATTAGTAAATGTTTCTGAAGCTGCATGTGTGAGCTCTGGCCTATTTGCTTTCCACATATAGTTAAGAATAATAAATCAGCCTTTCAGAAAGAGAATTTTTCTTTTGTTCAGCCACAAAGTAAGCATTTTAATCTCCTGCAGTTATTGAGAATTATGCCTTTTTACCCAAGAGCCGAGTTTCTAATTTTGAGCAATTTATTTTTCAGGCTTTCAGAAATACAGCAAACTAGATCTGAACTAGTGTATTCAGTTTATGCTTTGAAGTAAGACGAAATTCAGTTTGTAGTGAAAAATCTTTGATGTTTATCTTGGAAGTCTAAATTCAGGTGAACAGACCAATTTAGTGAGTTCCACTAGATACTTGGTAGACACTTTCTTCCTGCTGTATATTTTGGCCTTACATTGAGGATTTTGATTTATTATTAAATTATTTGTGTATGCAGACTTTAAATTTATAATCTGTACGTATTTTACTTTGATATATTAGAATTTGTAAATATTACTGATTTTTAAATATTATTTATGCACATACTTAAAGGACTGGTCAACCCAGAAAAAAATGCTAAATAATAAATGTTACTTCTAAAAATAAATTGCAGGATCATTAAATTGTCTATCCCTCAGGGTTATTTTAAAAATTTTTTCCTTCCCTTTGGATTTAATTAGCAGTAACTGTAGTTTCATGTGCTATAAAACTAAATCCACTGTTTTAAAAAAAAAAAAAAAAAGAAAAAAAACCCTGCAAATAATGCTTGAGCAGAAATGAATAAAACACCCAAAAAACTGTCCATATTCATTGTAACTTTAAATTGGAAACTTCTGCTGTTGCACTTTAAAGGAGAGAAAAAAAAAAAAAAAAGAAAAAAAAAAGTTAGGTTTTTAATTCTATTTATTTTTCTTCATGAAGATTGTGCTGAACAGTCATCCCAAACTGGGTAAATGATCCTGTGCTGTATAGGTATATACAGTGTCGTACCAAGCAGACGTGGAGTCCTTTTTTTATGCTGCAAGTTTTTAACGCTTATGTTGGTCATCACAAAATGCAAGAGTTGAAGTTCTGTAGGATTTCTCCCCTGAAATTCTGGACTGTAAACTTAGGTTTTGTATGTTTAAGGGAAAGCTTGTGGGGTTTTGACAATTTTTAAAGTCTTGAATATGTTGATTTTATACAGTAAAGCTTCAAGTTTTTACAGCTATTTTCAACAAACTGCAGCTTGTTTGATAATTATGTGAACCCGAAACTACTCACTTTGTGAATTCCTCAATCCTAACAGATTAAAAGGCATTACAGTGCTCTCTAGAAGCTCAACTTCCTTTTTATTTTTAAATTCAAAATGATAATACATCTTTATTTAAAACATGCATTGCTGCTCTAGAATGGTACCCTGTTGTCAAAAGGCATACGTAAATAACTGTACAATAGAATTGTAAATAGTCTTGTAAATCATTTTTGTGACTGAAGCTCTTTGAAATAAAATTAAAATGAACAGATTCTATTTTAACTGTTTTCATTAGTTTCATGAAATTGTTTTTAAACACTCTTCATGCAATTAGATCTGATCCAAAGCTCACTGAAGAATGTAAACTTACTGTGACTGATGTCACGGGTGTCTTGTTCGGTCCCTATTTTTGAAGGTGGAGGCAGAGAAGCATGCGTGCAGTGTGTGTTTGCAATGCGTATGCAGCACCGCTATTCTGGAATAGTGTAAGAGTGGCCTTACTTTCGCCTGGTGGTTAATGAAAGCCATTTTAAAGCCCCAGCCTTTACCTTGGATAGAGACTTGTTTCCGGCTTTTGTTATCCAGATAGTCCTTTTCTCCGATGTGTGGGAAGCAGCCTTGAAGAGAGTCTCCTATGGGAATGCTCCTGGTTGAGAGCTGTTGCTGTTGTCACAGTCATCTTTAGAGAAACTGCACAGAAATGAAGACAGCTTTTCCATCCTGCAACTCGGCTTCTCTTTAAATATTTCTTGTTAGAGCGCATTGTTTTAAACTTGAAGACAAGGTGTTTGAAATGCCTGGTAAACAAACGTCTTCATTACAGAAACTTGGAGTCTTTCAATTTCAAGCTAATAAAGTTTGATAAAGTTTTTTCTCTCTTCAGGATCTTCTGGACTTTAGGTTTTGTTGATCTGTGACTACAGAAGACTTGGAGGAAAGTCAGGAAGCCAAACGTATCAAGTTTGGATCGCTTAGCCAAAGCGTTAAGTAGAAAACCATTCATTCCTTAATCAAGTTGTTTTGAAGTCAGAGCAGCCTTGTGAAGGTACATATCACTCAAGCGTTTAAAATAGATGTATCCCTTCCTACGAAATCTAATGCCTCTGTGTAGCAAACTGCTGTATAACTTAGTGTCCAACAACAAATTTGAATTTCTTTCTAATTGAAATTTGTGCTGAAAGAGATAAGTCTGTCTCTAACCAACCAGATTTGTATTGGGCTGGTTGGTGCACATGCTCCAGTGCCACCGTCAGAAGCTACAAGTGTCCTTTGTGCCATTGCGAGTATGACTTGAATTTTTCTCCTGTTTTGTGAGTGGTGTCTCAAATTCTGTTTGATAGAGTTGCATACAACCTATGGAAACTGGTTCCTTCCGGAAGTGAAAGGGAGGCAAAATCTGCTGTAACGTGTTCTTTGGCCTTTGGAAAGTAGTTATATACATATGAGTAAAGTAGTGTTATCTAGAGGATGCGTTTTGCTGTTTTTCTTCCTATTTAAAGTGCAGAATCATCGTGAAGCCTGTTTGCCTGCTGTGTTCCTAATAAGTTCCTCTAAAAAGCAGATAAGCTTCTAAGGTGTCAGTTTACATAGTGTGAAACAGGAGTGGAAAAGCAGATAAATGCTCGTCGCTGCCTGTTTGTGGGCTAGCCCAGATCTGGTACTGTAGTTGCTGTTGCTACTGGGATACCTGAGCAAGCCAAGGTTGGGACCTCCTGAGCTACACAGGAATAGCTCACATTTTTCTTGATTTGTGTTTTTAAATGCTTTCAAGTCGTCCGTAAATTCCTAGATTCTCCGATGGATTCCTGTCTGACATGGAAAAGTCATTTGGGAATGTGAAGTCTCAACGTGTTGTTTTTTTGTTGACTTACCGTCTCATTCAAAGAATTCTAAGCCAAATTCTGGAATTCGAAAGCCCAGTGAGAGCTTGCTTCAGAGCGTCCATGTTGTCACTTGTTACTGCTAGTCCTTTAATTACCTAGGAAGGGATGCTGATTTTTACCAGCTTTCAGTTCTCTGAACCTAACCTAGAATTGGGGGAGTGGGTGCAGGAGGCAAGGGAGAGGGTTTGGGTTTTTTATTTGTTTTTGTTTAATGTAATACTGGCTTCTACTCTTTTTGGCACAGCAGCTGTGTTTGATCTTTGGCAGTATACTCTTGCCAGCAGTTCAGGCATTTGAGAAATTCACCTGAGCCTGGCTTACTCCTTTTTAAATGATCAATTTTCTACCCATTTATCTTATGTTGATTTGGGAGAAGTTCATCTTTGCTGCTGGAAAGAGGTATGTTGGGATGGAGTCCTCGCTCTCCCTCAGTGTTCTCAGTACTGAAGACTGAAACAAGCAGTTTTAACTGTTCCAGTTTTGTCTACAGCAGTCTTAAGTTGCTGCTGCTGCTACTGATCAGCCAATCCCTTGACTTCCAGGGTTCTAATTTCTAATACACTTGGATTTTTTGATTTCATTAAGGACAGATTCATAAACTGTGAAGGATTTCTGTTTGACTTAGTCAAATTTTAAGTATTGACCTTATAGCTACAATAGATAGTTCAGTGGTTGCTTTCCTGTTCCTTTTTTGTTTCTGAATATATACAACTTTTGGACTGAGTGGTACATTTCATACAGATCTAAGGATTTCACGTCCTTTATTGGTACAGCTTTCTAGCTAACATCATAGCATTTTATTCCTCTTATTTCATTTCATGTTATTTTTAATACCTCTGACAATTTAGTGTTGTGTTAAGCTGCTGAAGTGAGACGTTGTTTGTTATCAGAGGCTCGCTGCTGTCCTTTGCTGAATTAGCTCTTGTGTGTTATTTCGGGCTACATCAAAAAGCCTGTTCCTTCTTGTGTATTCTTGAGCTTTTCCAAGAAGAGAGAGCTTGCAAATGCTGAGAGATGGTTTAACAAAATTGTGCTATTTTGTATTTCGCCACTTAAAATATTACAGGAGTGGTAGGACGCTTTCTTTACCTCCATTATCAATTTTTGCATAATACTACTTTTATCCCTTCCTATTTAAACTTTTTCCCTATCCTGTAGCTTCTATCAAAACAATAAGAACAATGCTCTAAGACTTTAAAATTTAGAAGTTAAATATATAGATAAGCAATAAAACAATAACAATAAAAAATGTTGTGGATGCAGGACCTTTTTTGTGATGATTTTTTTTGGTAAGACTCCCTCTGTGTAACTAAGCATAATGTTTTTATTTTCAAATAAATATATGCCTTGTGACTATCTAATAGCGATCTTGTGACTTGTATATGCTCTTATTTTAGTTGACTAGTATAAGTATAAACAAGTACTGCTTAAGTTACAGAAGAGCCTTACCTGCACTTGTCAGTGTAAGCTGAGAACCTTAGAAATGCTTCATTCAATGGTAAATAGAGATTTTGAAGTTTGCTTTCAAGGTAAACAATTTCTTACATGTTTGTGATTTCTTTGATACGTTCACACAATTTTGTCTACAGCTGCTACGTTATTAAATACCTGTAATCAAACGCAGACTCTCTTATCTCTTGTAACAGCTAATATTTCTGGTGTTTCAACAAGGATGTTGGTGTTTTTGTCAGTGATGATCAAGCTTTTCCTCCAGTTGGATGCATCTGTTTGTCCTGAGAAATGTGACTGCTCTTTGAAAAACGGAATTCGTTGCTCTGGTCCCCATGTAAAAGACCTGGAATCATTAAGTCTGCCTTGCAACGTGACAGAGATTCACATAACGAACGCTAACGTAACGTACTTGCAAGATGTGTTTTCTGGGATGTTGGAGCTACAGCATCTCATCTTAACTTCAAACAGTATCTCTTTGATTTCACCAATGGCTTTTAAAGGCTTGAGAAGGCTGAAAGCCCTCAAACTGCTAGATAATAAGCTGGTTGAGCTTCCTGCGGGAGTGTTTGATGACATGGTATTCCTTCAGCAATTGATCATAGAAAATAACAAGTTGAAATGCATAGGAGAGAATCTGTTTGACAGACTAGTCCGTTTGGAGGAGCTTTTTTTGAACAAAAACCAACTAACAGCGCTTCCTAGCGGCGTACTGAAGAAACTTGCCAAACTCAAAGTACTGAACTTGTCGAGGAACTCTTTGGCAGCACTGCCTGGAACTATATTTAGTGCATTGACCAGACTTCAGAAACTGATGCTGTATTTTAACCAGCTCTCTTCAATAGAGTCTGGTTTGTTTGATAGCCTGAAGGAGCTACTAGAACTCTTCCTGCATTGCAATAACATCCAGTCCATTGCCCCTGATGCATTTCACTGTCTTCGTAAACTAAAAATCCTGACGCTCTCCAGGAACAAGCTTGAGCTTTTGCCTGCTGGGCTTTTTCTGCACTTGCATAACCTGTCTAAATTGACTTTGTACAGGAATCCGCTGAAGTCTCTTCCGGAAGTATTGTTTGGAGAAATGAGGAATCTTGGTAGCCTGTGGTTGTATCACACACAGCTCTCGACTATACCAGATTTTGTGTTCAGTAACTTGACAAATTTAGAGCTTCTTGTGCTGAGTTTCAATCCAGAACTTAGTGTTCTCCCTAGGAATGTTTTCAGTGGTCTGAATGAACTGCGGGGCCTGTCTCTGCATACAAGTAATATTTCCAGTCTGCCAGAGGGCATCTTCCTGAGCCTTCAGAAGCTGCAGAACGTTTCCGTTTTTGATTCGAGGCTTGAGTTTCTTCCTAGTAACCTCTTCCATAATCTCAAGCACCTTCAGAAAGTTTACCTCAATAGTACTAAGCTACGGTCTCTTCCTGGAGAATTTTTTACCACTTTACCTGAGCTACAAGAAGTCTTCCTTGATAACAACCCTTGGAAATGTGATTGCCAAATCCTTGGCTTCCGTGAATGGCTCCAAAAGAGCACTGATATAGTAAAAAAAGTACAATCTCTAATGTGTGACAGCCCACTGGCACTGAGGAATATTCCTCTTGTGGCTCTAACAGATCATCACCTGAGCTGCCTGCCAACTACCGCCACTACATACCAGACACTCAGAAGCTCAGCTCATTTCCAAATTTCAACTTCCCTGGTGACAGAACAGCTGAAATCCACTTTGACCCCCATAACAGCGGTGCCCAGCATAGATATTAATGCACCTACATCGATGCCTCTTGCAACTCTAGGTTTTACTTATTCACGCGTTCAGGATGTTGGACGGTCTCATTTCTCGGGTGTTCCAACTCAAACTTCTCCCAGCATCATAGTAGAAACCAACAGTGTAAAAGGAACAGATTTAACTACTTTTGCCTGGTGGGAGGAGTTGCCAGCCCGCATGAGTGCCGAGTCATATTTTAATACTAGGGTTGCCTATTGTCAGTTCTTCTTGTGTCTACATAGTTTGATTTTAGCGGTCCAAATGGCAACCATTGTGATCACTCTATATGTGATGTGTAAAACTAGGCAGTTCTTACACTCTGAGGATATTCCTGCTCAGCCTGTTGTTCTGATAAAAATTCTAAAAGAAGTAAAGAATATCAGCTAAGGAAGTGATTAGAAACATTGTTTTGGATGCAGTTCTTGCATTTGAGCAGTTCCTGCTTAATTCAGATATGGATTATGAATCTTACAGAGCAAGAGCCATAAGTGCCTTGTCTTTACAGCATATTGAAAATGTGCTTTTATGTAGCTTACAGTGTTTGCCAAAAGTGATTGTAATCACTGTATATTGTTGCAGTGTACAGCGCAAGGGAGCGGGAGACTGGAAGGAAATCTGTGGCCGCCTCTCCATGCGGCTGAGGCCTGTGGCTCAGTGCAGGTGTGTTCCTGGCGAATGCTGTATATAAAGCCCTGCTTGCTGTTGTGCTCAGGCTGCTGAGACCCGTGTGCTGTTTGGAAGAAGAAGTGGCAGCCGAGTAGGGAAGCACACACAGGGAACACTGGTGGGTTTTAACCGTTGTTTAAAGGTTACCCATAGTACTGTGCATGCATTCCAGGGCATGGGAGGAAGAAGGTGATATCAACCATATCCGATGAAAAAGCTACTTAGAGTCAATAGCAGCTTCCTCTGGCTTAACCAGCGAAAGCTAGTTAAGATGCTGAGATAAAAAGTATAATCTTGATGCGTTTTTTTCCCCAAAGCTTTGTAACATTACTACAAATCTGAATTTCAAGTAAATGTTCTTTTGTCTTTAAATTTTTGAGCAGTGGTCTGCCAAGCAGGGTGTTTCTTGGTGCATGTTGCAGTGAGTCGTGAAACTGGAGTGCCAGGCACGTACCCAGGCCTGAAGCTCTGCCCCGTGGGAGTGCAGAGCGCAGCTGAGTGCTCCTTCGCAAAGCAGCGCTGGTGGTTTGAGAGCTGGTACTGACAGGGCTGAGGCAGGAAGGGCTGATTTCTCCTGGGCGTGACTAGGAAAAGCTCAGCATGCGGGAAAATGACAAGGAGCCTTATTGAAATATCACCTCAATTTTTAAGTTGGCAGGGGAACATCAGTATCTCTGTATCAGATTTCAGTTTGCAGTAGCTGTGGGTTTGGCTTTGTGGAAAGGCAGAACTGACCTGTGCTTAGAGTTATCCAAAGCACAGGAATGAGAAGGGCATATTAGTCCTGTAGGACTACTTTGTCCTATTACATATTTTGTATTGTTAACATGCAAAGGCAATTTTAATGGGCAGTACTGTGGGATTTGGTCTTCGTACTGAAATGCTATGAATATTTTGAATGATACGGGTATTGTAGTGTGAAAATAGACTGGGGCAGCTTGTCAGACTTCCTGTGTTTTTTTGATAGCCTTTGGGTTTAACTGTGAATTTTTATCTTAATGTGACCTATTTTGTTCTTACAAGCTCTTCTCTTGCACTCAGAAGGTAGGGCTGGATTAAGGAGCGCTGGGATGTGGTTGCCTTGCTGCTAGGGCATGAAAGCCTATGCTCCAGGAGCCAAGATGGTCTTCCTGAGTGAGGCCTTACCGGCTTTCTAACTACAGAGAGATCTTTTCTGCATGGCTATGAAATGGCACTTTACAAGCCTGAGATGAAAAGAAGTTGCATTTACTGCAAGTTTGTAGCAATAGTTTTATCTCCCTATTGTTTGTTGCTCTAGGCACTGAGAATAAATACTGACTGCTGTGTCTCACAGTACTCTGCTGCTGGACTTGAATTCCATTTCTAGCCTACAGAAAGAGGCAATGTGCTTCTATTATGTTAAATAACTATTGTTTTGCTTATGAGCTTTACCAGAGTTTAGCAAGTCTGGTAATAGAGCCATCTCTAAAGTAGGAAAACTGATTACTACAGTTAGCGAGAAGCAAACTGGAACTCGGTGTGTAAACAAGCACTAGAATACTTATTGTAATCTATTTACATGAAAAAAGCCAAAGGCAACATTCTTGGTAATTCTTCCAGGTTGTTGCATGCTAGCACTTAAAAGTAGGTAATTGGTATAAATTAAGGTTCTTGGGCGAATGTAATGACTGTATAGTGTTCTGCCAACTCTTAATTTTAGACATATTGGTGCCACACAAACATCTACCTACAGCAGGCAGGAAATCAGCATAATCTAGACTCGTGCAAAAGTGGTTTTACAAATTCTGTGCTGGTTTTGCCTTGTGAGGTACTGGAGAAATGCACTCACAGCTGAAGGCACTTTGATACAAACGGTCAGATTTTTAAGAAAAAGCAACAATTATTCCCATATCAGTGTATGACAGACACTCTGCCTGCCTGACCTATGCAAGAGATGTCCTGTGCTGGAAGAACACACTAGAAGAGCAGATGAGCAGAAGCTGCTATCTTCCTGAACCTCCTTTTGGCTGCCCTAGCCCTGCAGGCAGGCCAGCTCTATCTCGGCACTTCCCTGGCTCGTTTTCTGCAGTCCCTGAACTTTGGCACGTGGGGGCTTTGGCATGCAGCTGTGTACAGTCAAGTGCTAAGAGGAGGATGATTCGTCTTTACGTGCTGTCATCGGGCTTTCCCCACTCTAGAGCCAGACAGAGGAAGTGAAGTCAGCAGAGAACAAAAGGCTGGAGCAATAAGGGCTTTAGGTGTTTTACTAACTCTTCCTCTCTCCCCCATGACTGGGATGTCATGTTTTGTGTTGCCTCTGACTCATTGCTTATTGCCCAGCATAGCTCAGCCCTTCTTGGAAAACTCCTCTGGCTTGGGAAATCCAGGGATCTCACTCAGCCTGGAGAAGGGACTGTCTTCCCGGTCAACATGACAGCTCATGTGGCGGGACAGGAGGCAGCAGGGAGTGCTGCTCGGGTAAAGTGCAATTGCATCTTGGATTCTTTCTGTGAGGGAAGCGTTGCCTGGCTTGTCAAGTTTGCCCTTCTCACATAAACGTGTGCAAGGTCAAAGGTGGAGCCTGAAGGGCTGAGCCTTGCTGGCTTTTTCAGGGTGTGTTTTTCTTGCAGTCAGCTCCCCTCCGTTGTCTTGGCAAGGTTTTCCCTGGACACTGCAGCCCATGCCTCTGTGAGCTACTATGTTCATCCTTGGCCACTAGGCTGGACTCAGGGTGACCTGTAAGCTGGAAAAGGTTGAAGGTATCCAATCCCTGGCCTATAGGGAAGGCCCTGCTGCTGGGCTTCTCCTGGCCTGGGAAAGGGTGGATGCAAAGCATATTTGTGCTCTGCGTCTCAGGGATCTTAGCTCCACGCCCTTGGCTGCTGTACAGGGTCAGGACGCAGAGCCTTATTTAACAGGCTTGCATGTTAACCAGACCTCAAAGTCCAGGAAATGCCTCTGGGATCATGTCCTTGTTAGGGATCTCGCTCCAAGCGCTCCTAATGTAGCTTATCCAAGGGTCTTCTATGATTCTCTCTGTTCCCTGAAACCCATGTTTCTGTGGCAGCCTCTTCTGGCCTCTCCTTTAGGAAATCCTGGAACTAAGGGAGCTTTGTTGTGAGCAGTTGTGCTGGGGCAGCAGGACTTTGCAGCATGCTTATAGCACGATGTCATTGCAGGTGCTGGTCTGCTTTGCTTGTCAGCACTGAGTGAGCTTAGTTCCTTCCCAACAACCTGAGGAACGCAGCGGCGTTGAGAGGATTAACTTTTGTCTTTGCTCTTCCTTTAACCCTGCTGTACCAGCAGTTTTCTGCCTTTTCTCCTGGCTGCTGTAGTACAGGGTCACGCTGCCTTCCAAGCCAGCAGCACCAGCGTGCTCTGATTATGTCTCCTGGCATCTCTGCTCTTCCCATCTCGCATTTGCTGTGGAAGATCGGTAGCCATTTGAGGGTCTTGATCCTTTGTCACTGCTTGCAGAGGTGAGTGAGCTCATATGTCCTTCTACTAAATGCGGTTTGTTTGGAGGCAGCAACATGGAGAGCTTGTGGTTACAGGCTGATCCCTCATGTGTCCCAGAGCGCTTACCTGTAGGGCAGCCAGGCCTGGTTTGGCTTCTCCCATTCAGCTCTCCAGCACATAGCAGTAAGGTTGGAGTCTACATCTCGGATCCTGCTCCTCCCTGCCACAGTGGTGAAGAGAAGCTGAGTGGTTCACCCCCCTGCGATTGTGCTTGAGGCATCAGCTGAGAAGACACCCAGCCAAAGCTCCATGGTTCAAGAGCATATGCAAAAGCTGGCAGTAAGGCAGGAGCTCTGCGGTTCTCTGGCTGATGTAACTGAGAACTGGCCATGCCTCTCCTTCAGGTCTTGGACCAGAACATCTCTCCTGGGGAAGCTGATTCAGCAGCAGTGATATTGGAGCATGTTATTTCCTAGGGATTACATAATAGCTGGGGAGGAGGTGCTGCCAAAGGCACATAGCCATGGGGCAGGGCTGTTGTGTATAAACTGAACCTGATCATCATGAAGCCTGAAGCTCCTGCTTTTCCCTTTCTCCATCCCAGGGTTGAGGCAAGCTATGGAGGTGAGCTAAGCCTCCATTTTCTTAGCTGAAGTATGGATTCACGTCCTCTTCCCTCCTGGGTTTTCATGGGCAGATGAGCCTTTGCAAAGCCTCTTGAGTGAGCTGTGCTGCGTAAGAGCTGTGCACTGCTCCAGTCCTGGTAATGCTGTTTTATTGGGATGGAGAAGGGGGGCTGCTGCTCTGGTTGTACCCAGAGCCATCTCGCCACCAGGCTTGGCCTCCTCTTGTGCAATCCTGTCTGTTGTGTTTCTCTGATGTGCCAGATCTCCAGCTGTGTCTTTGTTTCTCTGGAGATGAAAAAAGCCCAGGGCAAGGAGCCAGTGACTGCTGGCAGTGGCTCAGCACTTGGCCCCAACTTGCTGTGCAGCCTCCTGCCTTCTTCCCTGGGTGATGGGGAAAAGTGGGTTATGTTCTTCCATGGGGTGTCAGGTGCCCTGGGCCTGGGGCACTCCCTGACTCCTCGTGCTTGTGGCAGGGACAAGTGGGCTTTGATGGTACGTTTTACAAGTCCTGCCTCAGAGAACAGGGAGAAGCTGATCTGGAACAGCTCCCAGACTCTTGACGATCCAGCAAACATCTCCATCCTCCTTGCATGAGCAGCAGAGCCCCCCCCCACCATCGCCTCCTGCTCCAGCCAGTCCTTCCCTTCCTCCTCACGCTCTCACAGCAGCCACACC